TAGTCTACTATACGTCTACTACGTACAGTGTGCTAGGTTTTTACAATGACCGCTGCGAACACTGCACGTACGGACTAACGAACATAGTTATAAGTGTGGGCCGGAGGACCGGAGCACCACGGCGCTTACACTACGCGGAACGTGAAGCAGCCGAGTTCTAGTCACGCGTAATTACTCACACGCAGGACCTGACACACGGCATAATACTATTGCGTCGTCGGATGAACCACAAGTGTCATACCCTTGTGATGAGATTCACGGACACACAGCTACTAGTATAAAATATACTAGATGTACGCTTGCACTTCGACAGCACTAGCTCTCACTTGAAATATAGACTATGTTCATACACAGACCGTCACGGAGAGAGAGAGTACGCGACACACGACTGTAACCGGCTTCTTCGTACTGTATTGTAAACCACATACTGAGGTCCCACGACACATTTAGGCTACACATGACAACTGACACGAGTAGTTCCTTAACACTGTGATCACTGATATCGGAATGAATGCCTTCACTCGGTCTATTACATTTAGCCTAGATGGTAGCCCTCTCCGACACTTGGAGACGCTTAGTTCATACCACTTATACACAAACTACACTCGTGTTCCATCTTAGTTGGTTTTAGTACTAGATAATTTCATAATGCTATTGTCCTAAAGGAGCGCGACTGACGTACGGTGAACTATACGCACCACGCACGTCACGGCTTACATAGAGAGTTGAACATATCAGTGTTAACGTATATGTAACTTCTCTTGTTCATCGGATCCCCGAGTTGTATTCAGATATATAAGTGACATACTTACGATCCAGCACACATCACAGATGGCGCACGTCGCACACGACTATCTAGTACACACCTACTACTTCACGATAATAGAACTTAGCACTACTACGTAGGCAAGTAGACTATCGACGCGACGACATATTGCGAGCACTAACTACATCTTATAATACTAAAACATTTCACAGCACTTGAGCGACTGACGTTTATTTTTCTGACTTGTGAAATCCTCGATATAATCTATATGTTGATGAAATGTAAAAAAAAATCTATATGCAACAAACTCACCGCCAACGTCTACTACACACATGGCAAACACATGACGTTCGTCACACCACGGCCAATAACTTCAACATCACTACTTTCTGGTTACTTACGAGATAAGTGTCGGGCAACAAAGTTAATCTGCGCGACCACGTATACGTGAATGCTCTTTTAATGACTATATCGTTGCGAAAGACACTCTACTGCTGCTTTGAAACATTGCACTTGAAACAAGGATATCTAGACTACACAATGTACAAACACACTTGACCTATTTACAACAGCAGACTAATAATGTCAAACGGTACTGGAACTATTTCGACAAATGGCCGCTGTTGTCGTAGCACGCACAGGCAAAGATGCATGTTTGGAATGGCTTCACTACAAGCAACACAATCTGGAAATAAGACGGCGAGAGCGAGTGGCGTACGACACGGGAATACGACGTCAACAACGTTGAGGCAGCACCGGGAGTATGCGCCAGGTAGACGCACAGAACCAGACACTACTTCAGTGAGATTACACCGTTGGCTTATTTTTACGAGACAAGGCACCATTGTACAACATTACTGTAGGACGACAACGAGACACTGCGACCTAAAGAGCATGAAACATTCATACATATGCTTTCAAACATGAGGAGAGGGATTAGTGCGCTCGGGACTACAATTGAGAAATCAACAGATTAAATGTTATATGGAGAATGTGAACGAAATGGCGGATTGTACGGCACCTGCCAATGTGGCTGATATTTATGAGCGTATATCGTTATCAAACGCTAGTGTACGACACTCTACATGCTAATAAATTCACGACGTATAAGGTAGAAGTTCTCTAGTAACTTTAACTTACTTCACAGGGACGACTAGTACCTAACTACACAATTGAGGTGCACACTCTGAAACGAACGGGTGTGTTCGCAGTGCGACAGGGCTCATCTGAGTCGTCTGCGGTGCGTTCTGACTTGATCACAGAGTTCCATATTGGTGCCTACGTGCATTAGTCACACCGTTACACGTACCTATCGAATAGCAAAACGCACTACTTCATAACGTCAATTCACATGTGTGGTTTGGCACTTGTTCGGACGCAATACGCTCGCTGAACAACGTTACCACTGACGCAAATATACTACTTCAGCTACACTTTGCCGCGTACACGTACCCCACTCTACTCTACTCACATATTATACCTACGCACGGTCTGCCAACATGACCACCATGTGCACTGCTGCAGGATTACTACTGCGACGAAACAATTATGACTATTAGAACCTAGACTGCAGGCCCAGTTAGACGATGACACATCCAACCGTTGACTTCTTTGCCTACCACGGGACCCACGCAGACTTAACTTACTTAACGCGCAAGTTGTAAAATATACTGGTTTGTAGGTGTCACCAACTTACGGTGCTACCTTAAAAGCACGCAAACGCTCATGAGACGAGCATGAAGATACGTTTTTACACGCACACTGTTTGTGGGCGAGGTGTACGCGTTGGCGTTTGTAATTCATTTAGGCGGAACGAGACCACCTTGTGTCCCTGGTATCACGGAGAGATCAGACCCTGGGTTACCCGGCCGTGTCCGATCACACTCTGACCGGTTTCATCATACCAGCACGGTATACAATCACCGCCACCACACCACACTGGTACACCACTCAGTGCCTAATACGAAGAACACCACACGGAACTGTTCAGCCACTGACTTCTCCATTGGTAACCACACTGTTTACATATACTTTAAATTCACGTATACTTTAGTTTTGTGACTACTATTAACTGTGGCTCTGACACGCATTACACGTGTTAAATGACGCGCCTGATGTTATACGCACACACTTTATTCACTGAATATCAGCCTTTTGATACTTCACGACGAGAGTTTAACGAACTCAGTACGACAAGAACACTTGCTTTGAGGCACAAACATATAAATAAGAACTTTCTAAGGACGTGGCGCGTAACCTTGTTCAAGTTCAATACTGAGTGCACGTAGTTGCAATTACCCCATTGACAAACACTTGTACGCCTCACATATCACACACGGTACTGGGCTCTAACATACAAGCAAAGCAACGTTCAGTACTCTCATTTGTTACACAGTCAACACAACTGCAATGTTAACCATCCGCTTGACGGTCAAAAGTCTATCGGCGACACTTACTGCTTCGCAACTGTCAGCAGGAAAGTACATTTCATGGTCCTTTCACTAAGCCATAACAAATGGTACGGTCATCGCGTGAAACAAAAACACGAGTTGTTCTCTATCAATCACCTTGCATTCCGAGTCTCACATGACACTTGCTTCTCTTCACTACGAACAATGATTCTAGGAACTAGGCGCGCTGTAGCCCCATTCTGAGAAACTATCACTGTACGACCGTACCAACATTTCGGGAACCTATCTACACGAGAGGCTAGATACTCCTACCTTGATGCTATACGAGTACCCGGAACGTGTGACCGTCACGTTGGCAAGACAACCGTACCGGGCCGGTTAACAGCACTGGCTCCACTAAAATCATTAACCTGCGTGACAAAACTGTTTGTGGCCGTACGTAACAACACCGACGTGTGTGCGCTGCACGACACGGCGGTAACAGCACTCGGTAGCAAGTCGACTCTTACACATTTTTTTTTTTAAACTTTTGTTGTTAATATACTTTTTTAGCGTTTGCTTTCACTTCCATCCTTTGGAACATCTACTAAACAACTAAAAATACACTGACTCCTCAGAATGACTGTTACAATCGGTACCAAGAACACGACACGCACGTAATGTTACCCAGAGCATATGACTTGGGTACGACACGCAGTACGGTTCGGTTGTCATGGCGCAGACCGTGACCGTCACATCAACCTTCGGTACCTCTATACAACCGACTATGCACGACCCTAAGGTGAGCCGTACGATTTGTGCCCGCACATTCTGGACACTTTCCTCCCTATACCTTTGTTACAAGACGGGAACTGTTCTCCCTCTTTAACACATCTTAACACGCTTTGACGCTTTGACGTCCCACGCTCGATACTCCACACTCGTTTTCGGACTTACCCACCCGCACGTCCGAATATCGTGACCGCGTACCGTTCGACGGCGTTAAACGAACTTGTGCCCAACTTTGACGCCCCTTCCGCCTCCTTCTCTTATAGTAACAATTTCCACGACCATTAATAGTTACTGGCAATAGATTAATGAGGTCACGTGCAATAATTTGCCCATAGAATGTTCATTATTGGCGTTGCAACTATGTGTGTCTGCGTGTGCGTGTGTGTGTGTGTTTATGAGTGTGTGCGTGCGTGCGTGCGTGCGTGCAGGCGTTCGTTCGTGCGTGCGTGCGTGCGTGCGTGCGTGCCACGTGCCTGTGTAACATGTCTTTTGCACGTGTCACATGGATTAGTGCGTGGAGCTAGACTGGTAGTTGTTTTCAGTCTACCTAGACAGAACGTCGCGCATATTGGGCGGCGGCATTGATGTTACAGGGAGTTGGATAAGCGGGTTATAGGTTAGGCAGTTTCTAGGGTGATTGTGAAATGAGGTGAACGGTTGGAACTGGACAGAACGGGTGACATGTGCGCTCAAGATGTAGGGAGTTTTGGGCGAATATATAGGGAGAGATGTAATAGGAAGGGAGATTCTGGTTCTGGGCGCGAGAGGGGCGTTCTTTGTCTGTGTGTAAGGAGATGTGATGTGTCTAAGATATTAAAGATTGTACAGTTTACCACACAAGTTCAAGTTTTGGATCTACTTCATAATTTCTACATGAACGCACATCCCTGTTTACACCTGCGTACATATGTAGGGGATCCCGATAACAAGAGAATACATATACGTTAACACAGTAGAATATACGATTAAACTGCTTGGTTTATTCACAGTATTTAACTAGATGACTAACAATAGTGTAAAGTGTGTCAATGAGCAGGTATAGGTATAAAAACGTAATATCGTCGTAAATATTAAGTAGCAAAATGTCGGACGACATAATACAGAGCCGGGGCTCGGACGTCTGTGCACACAGCGTGTGGTCACCTACCTCTAGTATATTATACTATAGCTGTTGATCGCCACAGGTCTGTGCCGAACAAATGCTATAGTAGGTACTAGAGCTAGCTGTCACCTCGCATGCCAAGATGTCGCCGCACACAATGTGCTATATATGCATTCGCAGGTCAGTAAAAACCTACACACTGACTAGTAGACTATAGTAGACTAATGAATCTACAGAGAGAGAGAGAGAGAGAGAACAAGCGACGCGATGGTCGATGCCGTATAAAATGCGTTTACCTTAAATAATAACATCTCGGTCGGTATATAACCGCAAGACAAAATGAAGACTAAAATCAAGTAAAGTCTGAATACTGGTATTGCTGCTTACTGCTTGCCGCCATGTTTGAATTTCCTAACATAACTCGATTCTCACAAAACGAGTGGAATAATTTTACTTCGTAACAAAACCAGATTTCATTGCCCAGGTAAATAAACTGTCCCGGAAAATAACATGCACGGTGTTGACATTGCACGGGAAGTAACATAATCATACTGACTGATGATTGGCTAATCATTTCAAATACGTGTCTGATTAGATACCAGCATACCTGTAGATGACTTTTATTGTAATGCATTTATTGCTTTGAGTTAAAACTCACGCGCGCGTTCACAGCACAAACACATGAGAAATCGCACATGATATCTCCACGTGTGGCTTGTATGTGAATATTTTTGATTTCATTAAATGACTAGAGCACCATACCTTATGCATCGACCAAATAAGGCATGAATATGCAAACTGATGATAAATATTGCTTAAAAGGACATATACAATCATGCCAGTACTTCAGCAAAAACAGTGTCAAATATAGGCATGCATTGCACAATTTCTAGTTCTTACAGTAACTTCTGTTGATTGTCTTCTCTTAACTTTCATAACAAGCTCCCGTAAAACTAACCAAAATAAAGAACCAAACCGAGACAAATTTATTTTAATTCGTCGGCAGTAAAGGATATCCTTAATCACTTGCTATACGCATCATAAAAACACTAAAACCTGTACTTGAAGTTGCTTTATCAAAGGTTGATCAACTGAAGACGGCGGAAACACGAACATAGTTGGCATGACCACATATTATAGTATGTTCTTGAAGGGTGAATTACACGGTAACACAAACATCACTAGACACGAACTAGTTACTTAAATTCCTACAATGGCAACAGTTTTTTTATTACAGAAATTAGCGCTTCCTGTCGGAAAATCATCGGCGCATAAGATGAAAGGAGAAAAAGCACTATACGGTGCAACACACCAGCTGTACACTTATAGAGAATACGTGGCACCTCATAGTAAGTATATAATATGTACATATTTACAACATTTACGATTCGCGGGACAGTGCAGAATAATAAAAAAGAAACACTACGAAGATAATTAAATGACATTAATCACGTACGTGACGCTAGGATGACAAATCTTACTTGCTTGCACATTCTCCAACTCTTGCATTTGTCGTGAATTGCACTTCTCATATATTCATCTACAATGACATAGACCACGTACGCAACCACCTTTGCGTTGTAAAACCCTTGGATAAGAACACAGAACAATAGAATCGCCATTCTATATCATACGGGGGTCCGTGCAGGCGTTATTCACAAATCTGAGCTTACCATCCAGCTCAAGCAACTCGACTGACACTGTCTTCTGCTGCCTTCTACGGTACTTGGAATTGCTTATCAATGTTTCAACAATAACTACAGTTTCGCGTGAAATGTACACACCCGCCAACAATGCGTTACCGAAAAAACACATTTCAAAATCGACTTCCGACATTCGGCTGTACCCTGGTTGTCGAATGTACACGTTATCTGCCATAGTAAGCTACATACAGCAAACATTCTGTTGACTAGGTATGACTATCGTTCCTGCAATGCATGCGGTGAAGTCTCATCCACAGCATTGCTGCTTAGCTTGAGGCCATGGCTGATGTTGCACTACATTCACTCCCGCTACAAGCCAGCTCTACCGGTGTAACCCCTTCACTCCCGCTACAAGCCAGCTCTACCGGTGTAACCCCTTCACTCCCGCTATCAATGCCAGCTCTACGAGTGGTTAAGCCCCCTGCACTCCCGCTGACTAAGCCAGCTGGCTACCGCGTGTAAACCCCGCTCACGTCGCGCTACGGAAGCCAGCTCTACCGGGTGCTACCCCTGCGCTCCGTCCTACAAGCCAAGCGTCTACCGGTGTAACCCGCTTCACGTCGTGCATACAGCAGCATTCTACGGGTGTAGTCCGCCGCGTGTCGCTCCGCGTAGCAAGCCGGCTCGTGACCGCGTGTAACCCTTCACTCCGCCTACAAGCCAGGCGTGTCTTACCGCGGTGTAGCCTTCGCCTCTCGGCTACAAGCCAGCTCTACCAGTGGAGTCCCTTCACTCCCGCTATAAGCCAGCTCTACCAGTGGAGTCCCTTCACTCCCGCTACAAGCCAGCTCTACCGGTATAACCCGTTCACTCCCACAACCAGAGGCCGCTGTATCGAGAGCCAAGGAGCAACCACGAAGCTTCCTCCGACACTCTTGAATAAATAATGCCTGCATAAAAAAGTTAACACGAGTAAAAAGCGCTTAGTGAGTTCTCGCGGGAAATCACGAACGAGCATTTTGCCAAACCCCGACAGCTAGCGTCACCGGCCCAGAGTCGTCATTAACACTGTCACCAAGTGTCACCGATATTTGGTGACACGACGGCGATACAAGCGATGGTGTGAGTTCACACTACGCTACACGGACGACTTCATTTGATAGGACTTTACCGACAGGCAGATATCCCTGGATAGTCTCTACTACATGTGTCTGTTTTCTATTGATTGCTTACGCCTGTTAGACAACCACCAAGTGACTAGTATGCACGTGTCCCCCACACATCTACTACTTCATTTAGCAGATGCTGAAGGTAGATGACTGAAAGCTGGGCACCGCTAGAGCATCGGTAAGTGACTGCTGTGGTCTGCATATTACTACTAGATGTTGTTACTTGATGCCTCTGCCACACAGATAGATGACAGTTAAAGTGTGGGCAAATAACCGCCATATGGTCTACTGCAAGACTTTTAGAAGGTCAATAGATGACCACTAGATGACATCACACCTGTACTGCGTTCATGACCACTAGATGCCATCACACCTGTCCTGTCATCTTCTAGATGGGACAGTTGACAACTAGATGACACACACACGTGTCATCTTCTGGATGGGACAGGTGACAACTAGATAACCCACACCTGTCATCTTCTAGATGGGGCAGGTGACCACTAGATGACACACACATTTACTGTCTACGTGGTCACTATATGACATCACCACGCCTGTCATCTTCTAGATGGGACAGGTGATCACCATATTATGACACCACCACACCTGTCATCGTCTAGATGGGACAGGTGACCACTAGATGACGCACACCTTTACTGTCTACATGATCACTGGATGACACACACCTGTCCTGCCTTCATGATTACCATATGACACAACCACACCTGTCTAGATGTGACAGTTGACTACTAGATGACATCGCTGCGTCTGTCCTGCACGATGGCCAACTCCTTCCCGCTGCTCGGCGTCAGGGCAGCTGGATTACTCCTGCCCCGCGCTCCGGGAGGGGTCCCCGGGGAAGCCAGCTTGTCTACGGCCACGCCCGCCTGACCGCCGTGGCCGCCTGCCATCAGGTGTATGTTCGGGTAGCCGTTGATGTAGCTCGCTATCAGCTGAGTGATGTCCATGATCTGTAAATATAGGCAGACGGTGTAGGAAGAGTGAACGACCTGAGTGTCACATTGGCGGCACGCTCCGCTCGTGATGTTAAGATGACGGTAGCGACGGCAGTTTCGGCAATGATGCCACCTTGCGCGAGCTCGCAAGCTCGCTTTATACGAACATATAGTTATTAATATAATTAATATATATTATTTATTAATATACAATTATATTAATGTTATTATTATTATTATTTATTATATATTTAATTATTATTAATTGATTATTACTATAATTGTGCGTGCTGGGATACATGTTTTTGCACTAATCGCAACTTTGGGTCGAACCATACGCGACACCTGTGAGAACCTACCTTCACCGGTTTCATGTGGAAGAGTTGCTTCTCTGGTTTCTCCGACTTTCCCTCGAGGTTCGACATGACGAGCATGAGGTCGTCCTTGAAGCCGCCAAAGGTCACGAGCACTTTGTATGGAAATGACCGCAGCAGCTCCTGCAGGAATAGAGGGAGACACTGGGCGTGTGCATAGTAACAGGTAATAACAAATGTGCATCGGTCATTGAAGACTTGAATCAATAAAGCGGTACCCCACCTTAGAAGGTTAGGGTATATTATCAAGAGCGTATTAAGAAGGAGACCGTACAACGGTGAAATGCTGAAACCATGTTGCAGTATTAGTTGAATTAAGAACTTTGCCTATATTATTTTGATGATTCTTTGCTGTATTATTGATCACTGCGCCTACCTGCTAATATAAAACCGCTTGTCCCTACGATGCCCCTACGCTGAGATAATTGAGCGGTGAAAATCTGTATTTTTGCGAAAACCGACTCGAGATCCCTGTTTGCTGCGACCCTCTCTCGCTTTGGATAGCTTCGGGAAACCTCCGTGTGTTCCGACATGATTGACAAATCGAATGAATGACGTCTGTTATTGATTGCCATAGTGATGACCCCCACCTGTACCCACCTCATGCTGGATGTACAGTAAACTCTGTAGTATGATGCGGAGTCAGCGCTACATGGCGCTACACAGCGTGCGACTGAAGCAACACACTGGCCACAAGCGAGAGAGGGTCGCAGCAAACAGGGATCTCGATGGGTTTTTCGGCAAAAATACCCAGATTTTCACCGCTCATTATCTCAGCGTAGAGCATCGTACGGGACAACGGTTTGTTTTATATTAGCAAGGTAGGACAGCTGCATCAATAATACAGCAAAGAATCTCAAAATAAAAATAGGCAAAGTTTCTTAATTCAACTAATACTGCAACATGGTTTCAGCATTTCACCGTTTCATGTAACCTCTCCTTCTTAATACGTTTGATATTATGATATAAGTGCATAATTATAGTAAGGTATACACCTACGACAAATTTTTGATGAATTGAGCGAAAAAATAAAACTGAAAGAAATGGAGATAACAGCCACCAACACCAAGCCTGCTGCAGGGTATTTGTGGGTGACTTTTGCTCCCGGAAGAACTAAAGAGCATAAGTGGTTCAAATCACGATGTGCTCACTAAACTAAGCTAACGATGACGTAACATCGTCCACAGACCTTCAGATTTCAATCGAGACTAAAAGCAAAGGATCGTTTCTGATTTTACTACACCTATGGACAGATTCAATCTCAATAATATAATATAATATAATATAATATAATATAATATAATACAATATAATATAATAATAATGTAATAATAATAATAATAATAATAATATCACAAGTTTAATTACCATGGTGCTGTGGTCCAGTTCGTCAACGCCTTTCTCCTGTACAGCCAGCCATACAAGCTTCTGGCTATCCACAGCTTTGCTCTGATGAGAAGAACGAGAGAGAGAGAGAGAGAGACAGAGTTAGCTTTAAGAGTTAAGGTTAAGTTAGAGAGTTAACGTTTAGTGATGCTAAAACGCAATGGCATATGCGGTGTTATTATTTATATTATTTATTATAAGTTAAAAGTTTCAAATAACAATTAATCGCTAATTAGAACACAGTCAACTCTCCCCCAATATACCGACCACCTTCGGGACCGTCTGTTTACTTCGGTTTTATGTGAAGTTCGGTTTATCTTACATGTCTCAGATGATGTTGGGACTTGGGAAAATCGTCTTAATTACGGCTTAATTAACATTTAGCCTTGCTCTGATGAGAGGAGAGAGAGAGAGAGACAGAGAGAGAGAGCTAATTTTAAGAATTAAGGTTAGATTAAGTTAGACAGTTAAAGTTTAGTGGTGCTAAAACGTAATGGCGTGCGGTGTGAAGGATGGAATTTATCTTTGATTAAGTAGCATTTATTGGGTTGAAACTAGAATATAGTCAACTCTCCCAATAACGACCACCCTCGGAACCACGTACGGTTGGTGTCAAGAGTTCAGGCTCACCTTTGCGTGGTAGAGCTTGGCTCCGAAGAAAGGCCACTTGCGCACGGCGGTGAGAAGGCAGCGCACGCAGTCCTGCTGAGACCTCCCCCGCAGCTTCTTCTCCCAGATTCCCTGAACAGAGGCGACCAGGTTCCTGCAGGGAGGAGAGGAGAACACAGACACAAAACAATCAGTCATGTATCAACATAGAGCGCATGTTACCTGTAATTTGGTCAGGGAGGAAGAGGAAAAGCCAGACACATCAGTGCAGCGATGGATTGCATACCACCTGCGCAGTATTTTGGAGGGCGTGAATTAGTTATAAAAACGAGGAAAAACAAAAGGAGAACACAGTCACAAACCCATCAATCATGCATCAACATGGTGTGATACCGTGGTTTACCGTGTCAGCCGTATTTTGGAGGGAGTAAATTTGTGACAAAAACGAGGAAAAAACAGGGAATATCTCGGTATAAGAAACCGAGCACCAGAACACTGTTCTTGATGAACACCGGAACACAATCCCGCATGGAACACCGAAACGCAACTTTTGCGGAACACGAGAACAAAGCTCTCACTGAACACGGGAACACAATTCTCCGCAGAACACCGGAACACTGTTTCTCGCGGAACACTGGAAAACAATTTCCAGTGCTATATCGGAACACAATTTCCCGCGGAACGCCAGAACACAATCCTTCGCGGAACACCGGAACACACTACCCCGCAGAATACCGGAACACAATCTCTCGAGGAACACCGGAACAACACCGGAATATGCGTCTGTGACCTCGGATATCACCTCTGACAGCTCTCACTCACTTTGACTCGTCGGCTGACTGGTTGATACGGAAGTGTTTCGGGTGGTAGTGGTCGACAACCTGCTGAACGAGGTGACACGGGGGCACCGCCGTACCACCGCTGCTGTGTGTGCTGCCCGGACGATAGTCGCCGTGCTCTATCTGTAATAGTGAGACATATAATATATATATATATATATATATGTACGCACGCACGCACGCACGCACGCACGTATACATACACAGGCACGCACACGCTCGCGCACATACACGCACGCGCATGCACGCATACACAACACACACACACCACACACACACACACACACACACACACACACCACACACACACACACACACACACACACACACACACACACACACACACAACAGCTGCTGTAGGTAGTGCTAGGGTAGCAGCTAACTTTAACAGAGCATGTGTCCCCTGCTAGGCTTGCACCCTCACCTGCACCATGAGAGCAGTTAGCTCCAGCGCCATCTCCTTAGATAGAGGGAAGCGACCTTCAGTTATCTCTAGCGCCACCTGGTAGCACAACAGCAGTCGTTCCATGTCGGTCTCGCCACGAACTTGACTCTTGAAGTACAATCTGTGGAAAAGACCCCCACGATACAGAATATGATCATAGCACGAAGTACAATTTGTAGAAAGCGTCCAGTAAAGGCACGATTACAGAATATCACCGCTCATCTGCTTCACTAACGCATTGAACAAATTATAATATATTGATTATCTTAATTATTATTTGAATGTATTGTGTTGAGAACGTATTGAGCAAAGAGATTACGTGGAAAAATCTCTGAAAAATGACGCCGGCTGTTGCTAATGGCAACGCGTGTTTTCACGTAGCTAATAATAGAACAGCAAGGGGGCAGTGTACGAAACATCATCAACAATTTTATGAATTCTTATTAACGTATTAAGAAGCTTACATATCTACATATCTAATTATCATGAATCTAGAATGTCATAGTCATTCCAGCATACTTCACGTGCAAAACGTTTTGTATTCACGATGCAATAACTATTCAGGGGTTCTTTCGACACCCAGGGGATCATTGTCAAAAACAACATTAGCATTAACATTACGATGTTTCTAACAACGGCCCCCAGGGCCACTGGAGCAATATTTGTTGATAGGCTCCTGGTAGAATTTGTGACAAAATAGCGGGTCTATATATATATACTATATATATATACAGGCCCGTAGCCAGGGGGGGTTCGGGGGGTTAACGAACGAACCCCCCCCGCCGAGGCCCCCCCCCAAGCAAAAAAAATTTTTTTTATTGAAATTTCCAAGAAAATTAGCCTCAGGTCGCTCCATTTAGTGTAATAATTTGCCATAAATCTCCGCAATCGTGGCGAGGGTGAACGAATGAACACGCCCCCCTCCCACACGCCCTGCCCCGCCGCTCGGTCGCTTGGCTCCTGCCCTGGTCGCTTCCGCGCCCGAGCAGGGGCGTGTATACAGGGGGGTCCAGGGAGTCCGGACCCCCCTTGCTGCGACAGAAAACGGCATGATGAGGGGGGGTAAATTTTAAAAATTTTCTGGGGGACCGCTTCTGGTTCCCCAACCGACCCCCGCCTTCGCGGTGCTCGCAACTATGGTATACGATTAGACCCGCCTCTGGTACAAATCCATGTACACGCCCCTGCGAGGCAATTGCCAACATTGAAAAAACGAAACCCCCCCCCCAAATAGAAAGCTAGGGCCTACGGCCGTATATATATATATTAATACTATATAATATACTGTCGCACCTGTTCTTATAGTGAGCTTGACTACTTTGGCTGTTACTCGAGTTTTGCCACACTGCTTCTCCTTGAGTGTCTGCTCCCACGTGAAATGACGTCCAAATCTACACGGAGGGGAAAAGCGTCGTTAGAAAATCGAAAACGTTTTCTAACAGATGCGAACGCTGCTGTATTCTGTGTATCATAGAGGGTAGCAGACACACATGCAAAGAAGAGAATTAGAGAAAGTGATAGAGAAAGAAAACGAGATCCGAGCGAGTAGAGAGATGAGAGAAGAGGAGAGCGGGGAAGAGAGAAGAGAGAGAGAGAAGAGAGAGAAGAGAGAGAAGAGAGAAGAGAGTAGGAGAGATTACCAACGAAATATATTGGCATCAGAGAAGGGAGAGATGGAGAGAAAATACGAATAGGAGGTATAACGTAGGCGAACTGGGAAGTGCACATCATCTTACCTTGACATACCGAGCTGTAGCAGCAGTGTTGCTATCTCCCTTAGCCGCAAGGGTCATCAGTGAGAGCGCAAAGCCAGACTGGACTAGCATCCGCATGGCCGGATCTCCTGCGTCAGCGTGTAAGACAACTCTTCACGCTGGTCGAGCCGTCGAACTACACCTGTTGTGCGCAAAAACACGATGATTGGACAGCGCCTCCATGCGCTGCGTGCTGCGTGCTGTGCGTGCGTGCGTGCGTGGCGTGCGTGTGTTTACAACCTGCGTAACGTGCGTTGGGAAGGTGCACGGAGATGCATGCAGGGACGCGAGTCGTGTACGGGGTTTGGCGCGTGCATTAATTGACACAGCGCCGTCACATGGTGCGTGCTGTGATCGGTGCGTGCGTGCGTGCGTGCGTGCGTTTACCTGGTAGGTAGCGTTGAGGAAGTGCACGGGGATGCTGCAGGGACGCGACGTCGTGTACGGGTTGCGCGTGATGATTGACAGCGCCTCCATGCGAGATGGTTTCGCCTCCCGGCCGCCATTTTGTTCGCACCGCTCCAGCGCCCTCTGGCAGAACATAGCGTACTTGCCGAGCTCCGACCTGCAACGACGTAAGGTCACGAAAGGTCACAGCACCGATGACGACGTAAAAACATCATAAAATAAACATAAATACATTACGTTTTCCTGACTGCAATCTTTTGATTACGTACGATTTATCCGTCTTTGATCTATATATAACACTTTACGGTAATAATAAACATTGCGGTGGCGGTACCTGGTGTCGGCGTGTCGCTGTAGATGCGTCTTCAGGTACCACATTATGCGGTGTTGGCGGGGTAGGAACAATGCCATGCACATGGCCAGCAGCATCCAGCCCTGAACACATGGGTAGGTGTGAGCATACAGGAAACATGAAGATTCGTTACAGCTAGTAAGATTTGTTACAAACTGCATAAATCACAATGTTACTATAATTGTTCACTTGTATATATGCATATAAACCACAACATTACTATATTTTTCATCTGTATATAAGCTTTAAATCGCAACGTTACCATAATTTTTCATATGTATGATGTGTACGAATATCGCTCAGATACCGTACTAAATATTTATATACAGGTTACTTCACATTGAAATAACTTCATATTGAATTATTTTAATTTATAATAAACAATGTATTTTACTACCATAAACATATGTATACCGTAAATTGAGTATCAGGACCATATTTAGCCAGGGGGTGCGCCCCCAAAGAAATGTAGACACACGGTCAATAAAGACTTGTCCAATGGTCACCTGCCCAGAACACACCACGCACGTGGCTTCCCCCTCCCACCCACCCAGGCAAAATGCGTTAGCTACACTCCTGAGTATACACATGCCCACGATATTACCAATCAGGGGAGTATATTACAATGTCATCTTACAATGACAATTTCTCATTATTCACCCTTGCACCAATGTATTTATCGTTCGTGCAATATAATTATTTTCCTGCAGTTTAGTATTGTTCTGTGGGTACCTGTATGAAGACGAAGCTTGCTGGATTGAGTTTATCGCTGCCGTTGCTACCGTTGGGCGTGGTGCCACCGGTGGGGGACGAGGCTTGAGAGTCACACAGGAACCATGAGTGGCTTGCACACAGAAAGAGATTCTGCAGCGAAACACAACAATCCAATCAATTAACACAATGCAAACCCTTTAAGTAACAACTGTTATTACTATTTTACTCTTAACTTAGGCTAGTAACACAATTCAAAGCCTTTAACGAATAACTAAAACTAATAACACTTTCTATTAACACGTGCATGCGTGCGGGCGCGTGTGTGTGTGTGCGTGCGTGCATGCGTGCGTGCGTGCGTGCGTGCGTGTGTGCGTGTGCGTGTGTGTGTGCATGCGCGTGCGTGCGCGTCTGTGTGTGTGAGCTGTGGCATGAGCGTGGTAGGTTGGTTACGGCACTTGATCCCTCCCGTATCCACCCATCTCTCTCTCTCTCTCCAGCCTCACCTGCACTCCTGACTTGGGCGGGGTCGGGTGTTTCGTTGTCTGCTTGATGAGTTGACAGTACATCTCGTTCTGTAGCTCCGGGTGTGCGAGACACAGCTGCAGGGCGTTCTGCGCCAGCACGACGTGGTAGTCGATGCCGGCACGGTCTATGAGCACGCTCATGAACAGCTGACACGACTGCAAGCAAACACATTTTATTTATTTAATATCAGGAGTTAATAAAGACAACTTTGTCTTTATTAACTGCTGATAATATCAAGAGCTAATAATACCGGTATAATATAGGTATTATTAGCTCTTGA